GGGGGGACTTGGTGATGAGGGGAGTCTAGTAAACATAATGTTCCTCACGTAATTGTAGATTAATGATAACAACAAAAAAGCATCAATAAATGAACAAAAAAAAAGAAGTCTCTGTGACATCCTTTTGACATCTTTACAGGAGCTAATGACTTGGGAATCTGGACTATATGCCTGGTGGATACAACAGCATAGTGAAATGGGGACAGAATACAAAATTCTGTCTCCAGTTTCATGAAGAGTTACCTTCAAGACTTTAGGGATATCATATAGTGTCTCTAAGACTCAATTTATTGGTCAGAAAAGTCTAGTACTTCAATATCCTTTTCTTGGATTATAAATGCTGATACTAAGTGGTCATTACTTTAGGAATCCAAGATGGATATGATATGTACCCCTACCACACACTGGGTATATATATTCTTATTGAAAAGTAATTCTCACTTATTTTTTTAAACTTGATCATATCACTCTGTAATATTTACTTTATCTGAGTTATTTTGCGATATTATAATTCAGAAAAGTTAAAATCACATGCACTCTACATTTTACTATTCGTAACTTTGAGATCCTTTATAGATGACAAAGCTCTAGAATTTGGAAATCACCTAAAGTTTAATTCTAAACATTTTTGATTAGTATCCCCATTTTTTAAATATTGTTTTACTTTAGTTATAAAGACAGTCAACTAAAATTGTTTATCATGTCAAATTAATCTACTTTGTCTACAACTTCAAATCAAAGAATATGGCTTCTTATTGAGTCTGTTCCAATTAGATAACCACTTGCGCAATATAGAAAAAGTGGCCAGAATCACAAATAAACAGGCCCTAAACCCAAAGTGATTGTTTGCATATTTCTTTAAATCTCTTTTATAGTTTTTAATCATATTGTGTATGAAATTTTGTTTTCTGAGACATAAAGCATACACTTAACTTGATTTTACACGAGATACTACAGAGCACCTCAGAAAAATTTAAGTGACTTAATGTTAAGTAAAAATATCAATTAAAAAGATGATGCACAACACCTTTTGTTAGTCTTATCAACCAAGCAGGATATAAGCTGATCTCACAGAAAAGGATTAGCCATAAGGTTGAATTGATGGGAAAAATAATAGTTATAATACTCATCATTTTATATTCATATATATTGCATTGAATGAATGGTCCATAATTTACTAGAACATAGCCTTTATGTTGGACAGTTTAAGTGGTTTCCATTTTTATATAGTATAAATTACACTGGGATAAACATTGTCAGGCATATGGCATTTTTTAATATTTTGGATTATTTCCTTAGGATAGATTCCCAGAAGTAAAATTACTAGGTTAAAGGGTATGAACATTTTTATGATCCTTGAAACACATTGCCAAATTGCTTTCCGAAAAAAGGTTATATCAATTTACAATGCCACCAGCAATATAGGAAATGCCCTTTTCATAATATTCTCATAGGTATTTAGTATTTGGCATAATACAATTTTTAGATTTGCAAATTTTGTGGACAAGAATGTAGTAACTCATTTTAACATACATCTTTAATTTTTTGAGGCAACATACAATATAATAATCTTGAATTTCTATCATATTCTTTAACTGTTTATAATAATTTGATATTTTTATAAGTCTATACAGAATTATATGTGATATATATTAATCATTTTTCATAATACAAACTGTTTTGTCTATTTTTTTTCCAACTTGGTGCATATATGTGTGTGTGCATATTGAGAAAAATATTGAGAATTCAGTTTTTGTGCTGGTCAAATATGTGTTTTTTTTCAGTGATTTTTTTTTCCCTGTTGGTTTTTAGTGTAACATATCATAACTCCTCTCTATTTACATAAGTATGTAAATTATTCTAATTTTTCTAAATAATTATATTTTGGAAATATAACTCTTGAAGTCATCTGTAATTATTGTTGATTTATGATATAAGGCATGGTTCTAAGTGATCTTCCTCCATATTGGTAACTGGTTATCTCAATATCATTGAGTAATCCTTTTTTTTTTTCTGTGGTTTTCTAGGAAGTTTCATTTGCTATATATTAGATTATTTAGTTCTTAGTTGTTTCTTCTGTTTCAGTGATCTATCTGTCCTTGAGCCAGACAGCTTATTGTTTTATTTAATGTAGAGTTTCCTCACATGGCCTTTTTAAGAATTTTAAAAGGAGTCTTGCCTATTTTTTCTTATGTCAACCTTAAAATTTTGAAAAATTCTCAATATGCTTGAGTTTCCATTTCTTTTGATTTATAAAATAATTTTAAAAACTGTCAAGATGGTGTTCATTTCCAATGAACCAAATGTACACCTCTGCATTTACTCAAAGCTTTTTTCCTCCTTATAAAAGTAAATGCTTATTAAAAAATATTAGAAAAATACTGAATATAGAAAGAATGAGAAAGGTTATTCATAGTTGTTCTGAAATGTAAGCATTAGTAACCTGTCAGATTAGCTTCTTTCAGAGACTTTTGTCTTGCTAGTTTTAAAGATATAGTGCGTATTCATTTGAGATATTTACTGAGCACTTACTTGGGCCAGTACCTTGCTAGGCATTGACTCAGGCTCTAACTTCACGAAACAGACAACTTTTGCCTTCATTGACATTTTATCACAATCCATTTTTGTATTATTTTTTGTATACTCACATGTTTTTCAGGTAAATCAGTTTGTGTATCATTTTCCTATAGTAGGACATTTCTGATTTGTTAATGTTACTTTTTCCACATTTGAATGTTTCCTTAAGATACATTTCCCATAATAGAGAAATTTGGTTAAAGACTGTGAACACATTTAACTTTCTTGACACAAATTTCCCAATTGCTTTTCAAAAGGAAGGCTGGTACCAACTTACACTGCCAATGGAAATGGATGAAGGGAAATTTTTAAAATCAATTTATTAGCAATAATTATAACCACTAAAATTGTTTTTTTGTTAGGATAGGTAAATCACTTTAACTTTCCCTTTTTTGTTAACTAATAAAGTTGAATTTTTAAAAAAATAAGGTTAAATAAATGTATTTAAATTTTTTTTCTGTTCATACCTTTTGCCCTATTAATGTGTTTGTATTTTCATTTCATGTGTATGGGCTCTTTATGGAATGCAAACATGAGCCATTTTTGGTATTTACCCCTCCTCAGAGTTATCTCAAAGGAGAAAAGGTCTTAGAGCAGGAAATGATCACTGAATTTGGTGCCTTAAAGTCCTGAGGCTTATACACCTTTCCATTTTCAGGGTCAAGCAGGGTCTGGCACACAGCAGGTCTTCCACACATAATGCAATGGAAGAATACTTAGATGTCAAGCTGTGCACTGGACTCCAGGGATGGCTTCTTAAACTAAACCTGAGCCAGAAAATGACTTCCTAGTAAACCAACCCTGCTTTTATGGGTAGAAAGAGAAAATTTTACAGCCAGAAGACAAAAGGATTCAAGTACTCACTAGCATCTGAAACAGCTTGAGAAAAAGGGGTAAAATGAAGGGATATTGAGAAGTTATTGAGTGGAAGAAAACACCACAAAAGCACTGTGAAATCAATACAACAAATTAATACGTATTTACCCTATATTCATCATATATGAGGGATGTTGCTAGCCATAAAACAAATCTGGAGTCTCAGTATAACTTATATAATTGCTCAAAACAGAGACTTCTTAGGCAACTCAAATGGTACATTCCTGTAGCAGTCTTGGTATACACACATATACTTATACACATATGAGACCCACTGAAAGGCTAAAGAGAAAGCCTCTCCCAAACTAGGGAGGTCTAAAGGATTGTTGGGCCTGCTTTGTCTGACCTTATGATGACAGGTCCCTTTTGGTCACATGTTGGGGAAAAGGGTAGCAGAGGTAATTGTGGCAATATCTGTTCCAACTGGATTTAGTATCTTTCTTCTCTCAGTGTTGTGAGAGAGAAGATGGCAGGACCCCATACTAACAAGAGAGAAATAGAAGACCAAGAGGGAACGATATTCTTGTGGAAGCTAGTGTCTGCTTTGTGGTACTACTTTAAGTGATCACATGGAAAAATTTTTTATTATATACTTCATGGAATAATTTGCATTAAGTCAAATTTGTATGCCCTCGGGAGTGCCTATAAGACATGATCCCTAATTCCAAGGGTAAACATGGCAAAAACAGGAGAGAGCATAATTACAAAACAAGGTGTCTTGTGAAGAACTTCATGTTAAAAACAATAACTTACAGGTTGCTTCTGGTCAAGGTAGTGATGTCATGGTATCTTGGAGGACAGTGATGAGCTGCAAAGAATCCCTTAAACAAATCCTTTAGTCAGGTGAGTAAACGTAGCAGGGCACCTAATATTGTCGGGGGCAGGCCACTACTTTCCCTAACTTTAGGGAGCCATTCATTCTTTTTATGGTGACTTTAACAATATAGTAAGGATGTTTATTGAACAATTATTATGTCCCAGGTGCTCTGCCAAGAGCATTATCTATATATTACCACCTACTGATCCTTCTAGGCTCAGTTCATTACTTTTTTGACACACACCCCATAATCCCAACAGGAATTAATAATTCTATGACTGATCATTAATTGATAATTAATAATGCTCCACTCATTCTGTTCATTCCTTTGATGCAGCACCTCTCATTCTGTAGCCTAAATTTCTGACTGTCCCACTACCTGCCAAGGTTGATAAGAGCCAGTACCCTTATTTCACTCCAATTTCCTTGCATTTGATAGTTCCTAAGTGTTCTGTTGAGTGATTGTTAAATATAACTCCTCGATTTCAAACTCAGGAATTGTTGAGCAAAAGGACTTAGAACCTTCCTACAATCTCCTTTAACATATGAGAAAAATTAAGTTGGAACAAGTAGCTTGCCTGAGTTTACATAAATTTGGTATGATTAGAATCTAGTTCTCCTGCTTTAAAGGCCAATATTGTTTATTCTATAGAAGATGTTACCGAAACACAACTAAGTATCTTCATCTCCCAATCTCTTGGTCCCTCCCAAATCCTATCAGCTGTTGGCCTTTGGGCCTTCAGGCTATTTCTGTGAGATTAAAATTTCCTAAAAGAACCCACTTTTATATAGCTTTCCTTTTACAGCTTCCCATGGCAAACGAAGTCCAGCCTCCAAGTTGGCTTGCTTTTGCTGTAGCATCACACGGTAAAAGTCAGGGGGACCTTCTGTCTATATTTTCACAAACAAGCTCTTTGCTCAAGCACGCTTTGATGCAGCCAAATCAAAATGCTTGTCAACACACACGCCATGCTTTCTTCACCATTTCTTGAGAAAAGCAGTTCATTCTGACTGGAGTATCCTTTCTCTTTATCAATCTTGGTGAACTTTTAATGAGTCTGTTTCCCTTTTACACTAGGAGCTTCTGGCGTTGGACAGGGACCTGGCTTTAGATACATAGTAACTGAACGAATAAATTTTGTGTTCAGCTCCTAGCAGCATAGCTCTCCAAGTTCACTGAATGACCCTGTCTTTGGAAAATTATGTAAGTGTAACTTACTCCTAAGAGACCTAGGCAACCCTTTACCAAAACTTTTCTATTTGGAGGAAAAATAAGTAAAAATGTTGGCTCACTCACTCTTTTTGTCTTCTTTTTTCCTTTAACTCTAGTTCATCTGTCACGACTGCCATTCTCACTCTCTGTGAACTCCACATTCTCCCAGCACCCATGCCCCTGAACATTTGTGGGAGAGGAATTCACAAATTCCTCTAGAGTTCCATCACTGGAGCAAGTTTTCAGAGTCGGAGAAGGTCTGGGCTGCAAACAGGAAGTTTTCGTAGGTTTGGCTACTTGTGCTTGGGGCAAAAACTGCGGAGTCCACCTGGAGACAACCAGAGAGAAGACAACAAAACTAACCTTCACTATCCCTGTCTGAAGCTTTTCTGTGTCGGCATTCCGACCCAGTCGGGGCTTCTCTCCAGAACTGGTGTCTAGCGTGCACATCAGCAAAGTTCCAGTTTTGAACACCCCTAACTCCCTTCCTTCACTTTGAAAAATCTTGGGTGGAACATTTAAAAATTCTTTTGGACTTTGTAAGTTTTCAAAGCGTCCTAAGAACTGACCCCTTAAGCAGGCCCAGAGCCAAAGAAAAGCAGCAGCTACTTCCCAAGTCTCGAAACCCGTTTTCTCTTCTCAGTGCCCAAGACTCCATCTTTCCCCTAATATAGCTCACTCGAGGGGCAAGAGGCAGCTTTCCTCCTTCTGTGTGCCTGGTCTGGTCAACGACACCCACCCATTAGTCTCTAGGCTTCTAGGACAGCGGGGGACTCCCGACCACAAGCCCAGGGCCCTTGCCCAGACGTGGGTCCTCGGGGTAAACGCCGACCCCTGCGCAGGCAGAGGGCATGTGGCCAGCGTGGGGGACGACCTCGGGCTGCTCGCGCCGAAGGCACTCAGCCCCAGCCTGCGGGGCGGGTAGCCCAATGGGCAGCCTCGCTCGGGAGGCGGGCTCAGGCCGGAAGCCACCCCGCGGCACAGCAGCCCCGGGAGACGGCGCCCGCGCCTCCGCCCCCTCCGGCACGGGCTCCACGGCCGAGGGCAGCAGGGGCCAGTCCTCCGGGTCCCCGCCGCGCTCTTTGTCCTGGCCGCGCGCGGGCGGACGCGTGCGCCCCCCCGGGTGAAAGGAGGCGTGGAGAGAGCGCGCGGGAGCGCGCGGGAAGAGCTCGCGCCCGCCGGGCGGCGGCGGCGCGCGCCCCTCCGCCAGGCAAGCAGCGAGCACGCGCGCCGCCACCGCGCTCGCCCCTCCCCCCGCGCTCGCCTCGGAACTTGCTGACTGCGCGGCCGGGAGGAGCCGAGCCGGGCGGCGGCGGCGGCGGCGGCGGCGGCGGCGGCGGCGGGAGGCCACAGCGCGCGGGGGTCTCCCGCGTCCCCTCCGCCTCGCCGGGAGCTCGCGCCCTCGCCCGGCCGAGCTCCCACCCCCCCTTTTTCCGAAGTCGCTGGGCGGCGCCACCCTCCGGCCGGAGCCCGGCACTGCACAACCCCCTCCGACTTTCAATGTTCCACACTCCCCGGCCAGAGCCTCCTCGGCTTCTTTTTTTCCCTCCCCCCCCTTACCCCCCCCAAGCTGCCTCCATTTCCTTAAGGAAGGGTTTTTTTCTCTCTCCCTCCCCCACACCGTAGCGGCGCGCGAGCGGGCCGGGCGGACGGCCGAGGTAAGGCGGCGGGGCCGGGGGGCCGCGTGGGGGGCGGCCGGGGCGGCGGCGGCGGCGGTGGGGGAGGGGGCGGGGGCGGGCAGCTTTGTTCGCGCCGGGCGCCCGCGCCGCCGGTGTTCGCGAGCCGCCGCGGGGCCGGCTGGGCTGCTCGCATCACTTGGCGCCCGGCGCGGCGAGCGCAACCCGCGGCTCCGCGCGGCCCTCCCCACAAAGGGCCGCGGAGCTGCGTGGCCGCCGCCGCCGGCCGCGGCTCGCCTCCGCGGGCGCGGAAATTTGTTGCACTTCTTGGGGCTTTGTTTGTTTGTTTTTCCTCTGATTATTTTTTTCCTTATTTTGGACAAAATGTCGGTCCGTGATGTAAAAATTGAGCGAGGAACCTTGATGGCATTGGGAGCTTTACAGAAGGTGCAGTTTGGATTCTGCTTTTCCCAGGGTGGCAGCTCCGTCTTGGTCGAATGAACCTTCGCTGCTGGCCGTGCAAACGGCTGGAGCAGCTTGTTAGTTGATTTTTAAATTCCTAAGTGCTGTATTTAAAGGCTTACAGAGAAGGAGTCGCCACCTTAAATAAGCATATGGGCGATTAACAGGGTATGTTTTCCTCTCGGAAAGGGAATTTGGTAGCTTTGACCGATGTCAGTGTGTAAATATTTAGACGTTATTAGTGACTTTTTAACGTTTTTCAGTGAGATCTGTTATTTACAGGGTGTCATATGTTATTAATGCTCATTGCCTAAGTTCCCTGGCAAATCATGCCTTCTGAGAAAGTAGACAATTGATAGATTGTCCAAGGGATGGAAAAAAAATGTGAGTGGGTTTTCTAACTTGAGTTCGGTAAATCCCTAAACGCTGGCGTTGTGGGGCACATCACCTCCCCGTAACCTTGCCGTACGATGAGATAAGTGTGAACACTTTTGAAGCTATTTCTTTAAAATGCAATTTTAGGTGGATAGTACAATGAGAAAATGATACTGGTTTATTTCTTCAGACTAACCATTTCCTTTATTTTCCCCTCTCTCTTTCAAAGTTTCCTAAGAAATAACTTCACCAAGATGTCCAGTGATAGGCAAAGGTCCGATGATGAGAGCCCCAGCACCAGCAGCGGCAGTTCAGATGCGGACCAGCGGGACCCAGCCGCGCCAGAGCCTGAGGAGCAAGAAGAAAGAAAACCTTCCGCCACCCAGCAGAAGAAAAACACCAAACTCTCTAGCAAAACCACCGCTAAGTTATCCACTAGTGCTAAAAGGTAATACGTAAAAGGCTTAAACACATTGTCAGGTATCTTCCAAATTGTTGGACACTTTCGTTGGTCATTTCAGTAGTTCAAAAATACTTCGTTATAAATTTTATGTGTACTTGAACGAGTAGTCATTCTTAGGCGGTATATAAGCCATCTCCTTAGAATTATACTTTTAAGTAAACTTATTCTGTACTTTGGTTAACTTAAGAAAGAGTGTCCTAGGGTAGAGATTGGACTAATATTCTGATAGATAAGGAGTTGGCAAGGAAAATTTGGTGAACCCAAATTAGCGGGTACATTGAAGATGTTCCCTTTTATGAGTCTTACTCTTCATTGAAATTGATACTTGTAGAAGTTCAGTAATCAGAAATGATCACGTTTGTTAGGAAGTTTGTAAATTCAAGGTCTTGGCCATATTTGAAAGTAGATTTAAAATTGTGCCCCAAATCTGCTTTCAGTTTTACAAGCATGACTTATAAGTCATGCATCCCAGGTATTACTTTTTGTAGTTAAATTATGGTCACGCCTTTACTCTTATGAGGGCAAGTGAGACTGAAAAGTAACCGTTTGCAATGTAGGTGGCACTTAGCCACTAGAAACTTTCCTTGTCTGTGCCACTCTAAAACTAGTGGATATGCTTGACATGTTAATACTCAACAGCAGGAGAAACATACTTTGTTGGGTGTAAGCAAAAGGTCATTTGCTTCCTGTTGATTTATGTTATCTGTGATGGTGAAGAAAGATTCCGTCAGTGGGACTCTTGTGAGTGGTTTGGTGGTGGAATATCCATGAATTTTATTAAGTATACATCAGATATAACTGTAACATTAGCCAGCATTGACATTTTGTTGATTTTTATGATCACAACTAGAAGAAAAAGAAAATACAAAAAAAATTGATCAAATACTGGGTTCTGTAGTAATTCAGAAATACTCTTATTTTTCTATGGATTTTTCACTTCTATTGTATCAATAATTGTGTTAATTTATTTCATTAAATAGTAGCAGTCTGAAATAATTTAGAATCCTTTTCAATTTGTTGTAATGTTGTGGAACATATTAAACATATCTTAAGTTTTGAAAGCATTTTATATTTAAATAAAATCAGAGAACTGCTTTTTTTCTCCTTAACTCAAGACTTTGTATCTTACTATTACCTTTTGCCCCCAAATTCATTAAGTTTAAGCGCTATACTTGAGATCAGGGAAAACAGAATTGGTTAAATGAGAATGCCTAGTTCTTTGGAAGTTTTACACTGTTACAGATATTTGTAAATTTTAAACTTTTTTTTACATGTAAAATGTTGTCAGAACTGTTCATTGGCTCATGTAGTAGCATATTAATTCTTACCTCTGTAAAGGTGACTTGAAGTCATTGTCAAATATTCTAGTGCTTTTCCTCCTCCCTTCTTGTCTCATTTGCATATAAGCTTGAAAAGAGAATTTCTTTAGTAAAAAGTGTTTTAAAATAGATTTTATATCCTTTACGGAGTACTGGTGGAGGACTACTTCTCAAATCTGGTGTAAATGTTTTACTTATTTACAGTAGCAAGTGAGAAAAAAAGCTGCAAAGTTTCTGCTCAGGGATTTGGGTTATGCCTCTGAGAACAAAGAGGAAGCAGCCATGTTAGCATTACTGAAGGCAAAGCCAGCCTTGCATTTAACTGCATGGTGGTAGAGGGCAGTGTGATTCCCCGGTTATTCTGTAGGCTGTCTCAAATCCTTTTTGTCTGTTCTCATTTCACTAACAGAATTCAGAAGGAACTAGCTGAAATAACCCTTGATCCTCCTCCTAACTGCAGGTAAGAAATGAATTTTGTTGTTTTGATTTCAAATTGTGGAAAAACATCGAGAGATTAATGTATTGTCCTTGGATATGTGTGCTGCAGAAGAGGCTACATTTGCTTCTCTTCAGCTTTGCAAGTGGATTAAACACAAATTGTCTAAGGTGAATTAAATAAGTTTGGGAGAAAAAAGATACTTTTTAGCCTGAATCATACATTTGGATTGAAGAATATACTAATTTTATGCTCTGTACTGAGATTAGTGTGAATGGTGCTAATTTTTGTTCTGTTTTAACATTTCTGTAGAGTGTTTGTTTATTCAGAAGTATATTGCGGGAACTTCTAAAATTTTGCTAAGCTTTAAAGTTACTGCTTATGTGCAGACTGAACTGACCTAATGTAAATGTAGTAACCGAGAGTATAGTTTTTGTTTGATTTATTCAGTAACTTGCCTCAAGGACAAATTTTATGTGCTAAGCTAATGGTTTCAGTTGTTGTTTGCTAGAGAGAATGCATTACTCTTTAATTTCATGGGATTACATTTTAATCAAATGCCTTAATTACTTGGGAAAATTCTTAGTAATTTGATACTTGAAATATGTATGAAAAGCAGTAAATGAATTGTATTTGTGGGAAGAATTCATTTCAGTGAAATTCACGTAGAATAATTTAAGATTGTTGGTTGGTATAAGATGCATTAAGAATAACTGGTTGATAATTTTTTTCGTGAAACATTTTTTCAATTCATTTTACTTCATGTTCTGTTTTCAACAGAGATAATATAGCTTCCAAAATTTATCAGACTTAGAAAAACAGTCTTACAGGTGATTTGCACACAACCATGTGTTCAAGGAGAGTGGCTGCTAGAAATAAGGCAGTGTTATGGTTCGATATGAAAATGTTTTCTTGTCTTATCTGTATTTTTGCTACAAGTTGTGTTCACATGTAATGATAAGACCTATCTCTGAAGTCTTTTTGAAATGTAATACGGTACAATCCAATTTCCTCTTAACACTTCTGTTAACTGGATCCTTAGATAAGGTGATCCGATCCTGATTTATTCCTGAATTAACAGTTTTGCTCATATTTGTAGTCACCCATTTCAGTTCAAAAAGGAAACATGAATATAAACTTATTTTAAACAGGTAGTGGTATGTCAGATCTCCAAGTATTATTACTTAAAGAGCTATACTGTCCAGTAATGAAGCCACTGGCCACTTGTGGCTATTGACTGCTTCAGTTGTAGTCCCAGATTAGATGTGCTGTAAGTGTAAGACCCACATTGAATTTTGAAAATTTAGCAGGTGGAAAAGAATGTAAAATACCTTACTGTTTTTTTTTAAAAAAAACATTACATGTTGAAATGATAGTATTTTGGGTATACTGAGTTGTACAAAATAAGTTTTAAAATTTCACTTTTACCATTTTATTGGTTATTAGAAAATTTTAAATTATATATGTGGCTTGCATGATATTTCTATTGAAAAGTGATGTTTTATCAAAGTATTTCCTTCCAGCTTACTAAATGGTGTGTCAAATCTGTATCCATTTAGGGAGGTCAGGTTAAATTTGCCCTCTAGAAGAATCACTTAAGAGTGTATTCTGATTTTTTCCATTACAGAAGATGTCAAGATCTATCAATTAAAAACTTCGATGTTTTAAAGTTGCCTTTAAGGCCAAACATTTTTAAAGGTTTCTGGTGGGTTTTTTCAAATGGCACAGACTAGTGTACATGCATAAATCTGGAGACCTGGAAGATGTGTTGAATTCCCTTAGAGCGATAGTTTAGTGTCGCAGTTCCTGAAGAAATAAGCTCTACATGTTTACTTTAGGAATGATTCCACACAGTCATTGAGGATTATTTTAGAGGAAGTAGAATCTTTCCAAGAGATAGAAAGTTTAATGTGTTTATTTTTCCTTTTGTGTACCAGATTTCATTTCAGTCAATGAAATGCTTCACATTTAGTGATTAGACAAGTAAAATAGTGAACTTTTGGACTTGGTGTAAACAATACATCTTTTCCCTTGTCACAACTTCTGATGACTGTCAACTATTGGTAGATGACATATTTCAGTTCTCTGGCTCTTTTTAATATGTGAGTTTCTTTGTAGCTGTGTGAATTATTAAAGAAAAA